AAAAATCCTAGAAACTTCTAGACTAAAAGCAATTCAAAACAAAGAAAGAGTAAGGTTTCCTATACAAGAAAGGGAAGCAGATTGGCAGAGAAATAACATCTGTGCCACTAAATGCCAGATGATAATAAACCGTTTGTGGAGTTTGGAGAAAAATGATTATTACAGAATTACACGCATGCCCAGACTGTGGTTTATGCATGAGGACAAAAGAAAGACATCTCCAGACATACAAGAATTCAGAAAATATATCATCTGCATACTCTAATAAAAAAAAAAAAAATGAGGGGCACCTGCATGGCCCAGTTGGTTGAGCATCCAGCTTTGGCTCAGGTCATATTCTTCGCAGTTCGTGAGTTCAAGCCTCTCACGGGGCTCTCAGAGAGCCTGCTTTGGATCCTCTGTCTCCCTCTCTCTGCCCCTTCCCCACTCACTCTGTCTCTCTCAAAATAAATAAATAAACTGAAAAAAAAAGAAAAAGTACTCAAAAAAAGAAGGTATGGTTTACAAGGAATAGTGATAAGCAACAAAAAAGGAAAGTCTAAGAAGTTTTTGACAATATGGATGTGAGTATAATGTAATAGTTAAAAAAGTTTTAATGGAATATAAGGGCAAAAATAAAAAAGCTACATGGAATTAAAATTCCAGACTATTCCAACAAAACCTAGAACATGTAAAGGAAGGAAAAGTCAAATATCCTACGTGTTTTGTCTTGGTAGAATATTTTAGATAATGGTTAATTTTTGACATTGATAGAGAAATACAGATAAAAACATACTTGTTCAAAACTTAAAGATCATTCTCAGAGTTTCGAAGAAAAGTAGGGTATAGAGCTAGAAGGAAGAAATGTCGAATATCCAGGAAAGACAACAGAAGAATAAAGAAATATTCTGAGTACCAGAGAAGCTTCAAGCAGTCAAAAGCAGGATATGATCTGAGTTGTCCACAGAAAGGGCCATTTAAATTTAAATTAATTAAAATTAAATAAAATTTAAAATTCAGTTCCTTAGTCACACTAACCATCTTCCAGGTGGCTAGTGAGAGCTATTGGACATTCCCATCACTGCAGAAAGTTCTAGCAGACAACACTAATAGTCAGTGAAAAACATAAGGTAACAAATGAGTCCATGTAAAGTTTGATCTCATTTATGTTAAATATGTACTTTTTTTTTTTTTAATTTTTTTTTTTCAACGTTTTTTATTTATTTTTGGGACAGAGAGAGACAGAGCATGAACGGGGGAGGGGCAGAGAGAGAGGGAGACACAGAATCGGAAACAGGCTCCAGGCTCTGAGCCATCAGCCCAGAGCCCGACGCGGGGCTCGAACCCACGGACCGCGAGATCGTGACCTGGCTGAAGTCGGACGCTTGACCGACTGCGCCACCCAGGCGCCCCAAATATGTACTTTTTAATATACATTACAATGTTAGTGGATTAAACTGTCAATAGTGGTTTCTCTAGTCAATAAGATGACCAGGCGCCTTCAACTCTTTATATGCTTTATTGTTTGAATTTTTTTAAGTAGGCTTCAAACCCACTGCAGAGCCCAAAGTGGGACTTGAACTCATAACCCTGAGATCAAGACCTGAGCTGAGATCAAGAGTTGGGCACTTAACTAACTGAGCCACCGAGGCACCCCTGCTTGAATTTTTAATACTGCATATTTTACTCTTAAAATGAATAAAAGTCAGAAACATATTTTCAAATACAAGAACAACAACAACAAAAAATCAACCAACTTTTTCTTGAACTTGGTACAGAATTTGGTTCCACTCCCTAAGTTAACTAAGCAACTGACTGTAACTCCTATATATTTAGTGTGGACACTTGTGTTAACAAACAACTTCAGCATGATGAAGAGTGTGTCCCATACCTTGATATTTTCCAGAGTTTAGGTAAACTTCTGGAAAAAGTTTGTTCTGAGCCCAAAGTGATACCACATTTCAGATGCAAGTCAGAGCAGACATTTGATGATTTCAGACTGTTACTGGAATTGAGGGAGTTCTTGGGCATAAGCTGTTAACACACCTTTCCATTTAGATCTACACAGTTGATAACAGATCAGATTTCAGAAAGGGCAGCTTTGAATTATCCTACGAAGTTCCCACAGCCGGTCTCAATGATACACAGATAAAGTCAGAAAGAACAATATACTGTGCAGAGAATAACTTCAATGTCCCCCCTATATGGGGTGTGGGAGAAGAGAGGTTACATTCTTTGTTCTTTGTTCAATCCAAAGATTTAATCTTTACCAAATACCAGACCTTCATTTTTCTAAGGAGAAAAAAAAAAAGTCTTAAAAATGTCTCAGAATAACCCTCAAATACTACAACTATTTCATATCTACCTCAGGGAATAATTTGGCCATTCATCTGCCAACAACGGCATATTCATAAATGTTTATGTTACTCCCTAGGTAAATATTCCTGGTAGCTGCCTCCTATTCCACCACACTGAATATTGAGGAAAACGCTCTTGGTGGGAAGGAGATAAAAGCCATCAATCTGTCTAGGAAAATGTTTTTCTCTTTCCTTTTTTTTTTTTTT